GTATGTAAATATATGACTTATTAGATGTGTATATATATATATGTATGTATGAATACAAAAATGAACATTGCCAAGAAGTTTATTTGAAGTTGCTTTTAATTCAGATAACGATTATGTAATTGGCAGCAACATTCCATTACAGTTATCAGTTCTTTGCAAATTATTATGGGTATGTAATAATCAGTTGAAAAATAATTGATGAGTATTTGAGTACTAAAGAGTGTACACATTTTGTTATTGGGTTAATTCATAAGTATATCGTACGTATGATCTACGTAATAAAAACATGACTAATAAATAATAAGAAATGTAACAGCTGTGCATTTATAACATTTGATTACTTAAAACAGTGCACAACTGATTATCACCTTCATGTCTGTTTACATGATGAATTGCACTTTCCAATTAAGTGCACGGGCCTACTAGTGGCCAAAGCGTCGTTGAACACTGGTAGTTCTGTCTCAGGTTAGAATGCCGTGAATGGGCTGGCTACATGACGTTTCCTTGGTTTGCCCCATTTGTAACTGGTATACGAGCCAATTTTAAAAAATCTTCTACAAAGGGATCCCTCCTGTTGTTATCCCTCGAGGCTTTGCGGTAATCACATAAAACAAACTGAGCCCACCAGCGGCCGAGCGGTAAAGTCGCTGAACACTGGTAGTTTGATCCGAGGTTCGAATCCCGCGAACGGGCTGGCTGCATGGGCGCTTTTGTGGTTTTCCCCATGTGTAACGTGTATACAAGCCAGTTTCCCTTAGAAAGTCCTCCACAAAGTCATCCCTTCCCTTAGGCAGATAGCCCTAGTGTGCTTTGCTGTAATCTCAATAAACCAAACCATAAAACAAACTCATGATCTGAACACCTAATTTCTAAAGTTGGTATAATTAATGTGTTTTAGGTATATTACTGAGTGTTCGATGGGACAGTAAACAACTCGCACATGTTTGATTGCTCGTGTATTCATATGCTTTATTTGGTCTTCATTTTGCTGAATAGTATCTGCTGGCTGTGAGGAGGTAAATATCAGCCATATAGATTTTTGTCATAGAAGGTCTTTTTTTGGGGGGGGGGTGTTTATTTGAATGGACAGAACAGTAATTATGAGCCATAAAGTTAGTCAGAAAATGCTTTCATCAGATCACAAATTTTCATTGAAATACAGGCAACAGAAAATACACATAAGCGATGTGTGATAAATAGACTTATCCAGCACATGTTTTTAAACTATCCTTAGTGTATACAGAATTTGGCTATTACTGATGTAATTGATTGCTATAACCAGAAGTGTGTTTATCTGTTACATGAAGTGCTAGAGTGGAGATCAAAGTGATTAACTTGATAGCAATCACCTTTCTATTATCTTCCATTACTAGCAATAAAGTTTAAAACGAAAAGCGTGTGAGCGATACAAAACAACACGAAGAAGCGAATGTCACTTTCCCCAATCTGAGCGATAACTGATTCTTGTTTGGCTTTCAGCCTGTTTACCAGGTGAAGATGGTAACCCTATTTCGCCAAAGGCCGTTTCTCAGAACTGTTGCTTCAAACGTTTTGTTCCGGCAACAAACAGCTAATGTGATAACGCTTTAAGATTCTTAAGAGATCTCGGGAATCTCAACTCTCATTGGTTATGTGACCAAATGGCAGTTATACTATAAACTGTTTGGATACACTTTCGACCATGTTGAATTTTCATCTGGGAGACACAAGTGTCACCTCTGACTCTCAGGAAATCCATTGGAATTACTTCATAATCCATTAGATTTGGATTTTGCTAAAACAGTAGTGAAGTTTGAAAAGGCTAAAGCAGCCCTAGATGTATTTCTTCCCTTTAAATCTCCCGTTACGATGGCATTTACCCAATTCTGCTTCAGAAAGGCTGGGATATTTTTGGCCACATTCTCGTGCACGTATTCGAATCCAGTTTGGTTTTAGGATATGTTCCTAAGGTATGGAGAACTTCACAAGGTGTGTTTCTCCCCAAACCAGGAAAAGATACATATAAGAAACCAAACTCATTTAGAATGATTACGCTAACATCCTTCCAGCTCAAGCTGTTGGAGCGATTGATTTTCTGGCAACTCCAGTCAGATAATAATCTGAACCATACTTTTGGCTTAGACCAACACTGTTTTAGGCCTGGCTTCTCCACTGAGTCGGCCCTACACCAACTGGTGGGAAGAATAGAAAATACAATTATAGACGGACACTTTGCCATTGGGATTCTACTGGATATTGTAGGAGCCTTTGATAACATCAGTTTCAAGAAAATGGATAAAGCCCTTATTGGAAATCATATTCACCCTATGATAACTAGATGAGTCATCTTTATGATTAAAAACTGGAGTATCTGCATTAGTCTCACTGACTGTGAAGTAAAGAGAGATATTACTAAAGGGTGTCCACAGGGTGGTATTCTTACTCCGTTCCTGTGGAACCTGGTATTCGACTCACTCTTAGTACTTCTATGGGAGGAACCTGGCATGTCACTGGCTTATACAGTTGACCTTATTGTGTTACTACAGGGTTTCGATATTGGAACCCTACACAGTCAAGCTCAGCAAATCTTGAACAAAATATCACACCGGGATGAAACAAATGGCATATCTTTCTCTGCTGAAAAATCAGAGGTCATAGTTTTCATGTGGTAAAGGAAATAGAAACTGGCAGATTTGTATCTGGGTAACCAGATTATCAGACGTAAGGAATGTGTTAAATACCTAGGATGTTACCTGGACAGTAAACTCACATGGATCACCCATATAAAAGAAAAGGCACAAACAGCCACAAATGTACTAGTACTTTGCAGGCGAATCGTTGGTAAACAATGGGGCCTTAACCCCAAATCTACTCTATGAATTTATACTGCCATAGCCCGGCCAATGCTTTCTTACGGATGCGTGGTCTGGATCAGTATTATTAACAAAAGCACATATTTAAACATTTTACAGAAGCTTCAAAGATTTGCTTGCGTATGCATTAGTGGAGCTTTAAACAGTACCCCTACTGCTGCATTAGAATTTTTATTGCAAATTTACCTTTGAAATTATTCTTGAGCTGAGAAGCAATTAAAGCCATGTATAGGTTGAATAAAAATGGCACATGGTGCCAAAGGACAGGTTTCGGTAATAAAAGCCACATTGATATATGCCTGGACTTGGACAATGAGATCCCTATAATCTATATTCCCAAAGATGCAATTACTAAAACAATAGTTCCAGATAAACTATTCTCAACTTATATACCAAAAAGGAATGAGATAGAATCTCTAATTGACCTAATTCCAACAGGATCAATTGAATGTTACACAGATGGATCAAAGTGCAACATCACCGGAGCTGGAGCTATTACAAGAACCAAGGGATCTGGAGAAGATTTCATTCGATTTCATCTATACCTTCCTTGGTAAACTAACAACTGTTTTCCAAGCCGAGGTTCTGGCGATCAATGTGGTCGCCAGGGAGCTCTTAGCTAAAAATGCAGTTGATAAAAATATATATATTCTCTCTGACAGCCAATCAGCCATCCTTGCCCTGGCTAAGCGTGTCAAGTTACAAAATCATGTTTTGAACTGTACTCAAGATCTCAATTCTCTGGTTCAAGCTCATAACACCATTAGTTTCGTCTGGGTCCCAGGTCATTGTGATTTTGCTGGAAATGAACTACCTGATAAAGTAGCTAAAGATGCTTCACAACTACCCATGTCTGTCCCAGAGCCATTTTACCTAGTTTCATATCAAACTGTTAAAAAAGAAGTAAGAAGCTGGATAAAGAACAAACATGATGATATATGATCTAAACTACCAGACTGTGCTCATTCTAAATTGGTGCTCAGTACACTTGACTTGTCAGGTAAACTCATACACCTCAGTATTACCAGGTAATTCAAATTGTTACCGGACATGCTTATCTGGCCAAGCATCTCCACAAGTGGAGAAGAAGAGGATACACCTTTTCACTTTGTGAAACAATGTCCAGTGTTTTCTGACGCTAGAAACAAATTCCTTGGGTTTCCCTATATTAGCTTTGATCAAGCCCTTCTATACAAAGGGCTCTCTGGTATAATAGGGTTTCTGATGTATACTAAACACCTACAGGTAAGGTGAATTTGAAACCACAAGAAACAAGCATTGAGACGCCCTGCGCGTGGTTTTTTTTTTTTTTTTTTTTTTTTTTTTTTTTTTTTTTTTGTGTGTGTGTGTGTGTGTGAAAAAAACTATGCAGGGATTTCCCTCTCATAGCTATGTTTTGGAATATAATTTGGAAATAGATATCAAATCTTTATACACTACCTGGCCAGTTGGCTTAAGAAAGTTCCTCTGCCCTCCTTATTTAATTATTTTATTTATATATACATATATATATATATAGATATATATATATATATATCACCATAGCACCCTTGCTTGGTCAAGAGTTTGCATTTGGTAGTTTTGGGAGGGATTGAATCGGCTCTTCATCCAATTGGGAAGTTTTAATGATTTAACTGACACCCTGAATTTAGAGATGGGATCTTTTGCTGATACTATATATTTGGTGTCAGTTTGAGATCTTATATATTTATTTATTATTTACCTTTCATGTAGTTACCATTTAAAAACTTTGACTTAAATGATCAAATGGCGGAAGAGCAATAGGCAACATTGCTTAAACTCTTTTCCTTCTTTTCATAAGAAGGAAGTGCCACTAATGTGATGTTATGTTCCATGATGTGGGGAAGGGTAGAAAGGAGGAATAGAAATGACATTCAGACATCTCAGCTTCGATATGCGAAAAGTGTGCGTTAAAAACTGAATCTGTCTTAAATTTTGTGCATACGCTTGTGCTGGAAGGTTAAAAGTACTCATTTTCCACTTGCAGAAGTGAATACGAACCTTGATATAGTTTTAGCTTTTGCACAAGTTGTGCGGCAAAAAGTTCATGAATCTTTACTATTTGTTCTGAATGTTACTTATGTTTGAAGTATTTATTTCTGATATGCGTGTGTTTGTTTCTTTTAGAACTTGAGAAAGACCCATACGACTTTCTTGCTGCAGATCCTGCTGAAAGTAGAGCTATTGAAAGTTCATTATGGGAAATAAAGGTATAAATAAATCATGCAAATAAATTTTTATTATGTATTTTACTTAATTAATTTGTAATCAGTACTTCATTTCTCTCCCTGGTTTTATTTTTAAGGAGTATGTTTCTGTAATTTTTTTGGATGAATATCCTTGATTAATTCTTATGTTTTATTTAGTCTTATTTATTTAGCTGTTAACCGTGTGATAAATTATTTTTATTAATAGGATAAAACATAATTCTGTTATTTTGAGAGGAACTTCAATAAATTTTTAATACAGTAGAGATCTGCAAACTTGACCTAATGTGGACCGAGAGCATGGCAAGTTACCAAAATATTGAGTTTTACAGAAAAAGGGATGGATTATTTACAACTTAACACCTAAATCAGTTTTTAAGATATCTAATTTTATTTGCATATCATGTTTATTCAAAATGTTGATAATTTTGCAGATTGCCAGGGCTGTAATCTTTGCCCATGGCACTATTTGAGTAGGCTTCATCATTGACACAGCTACAACATCATGTTAATTCATTCCTTTTCTTCTCATTCAACATTTTTACTTGCAACAACAAAATGTTCGCAAGTCTGAATATAAGCTGGGAAATTCTTCATAGAATTAACTAAAAATGTTAACTTACAGTAAAATACAGCTATAAATCTGCAAACAAGCTAGTTAACAGCTAGTAAGAGAAAGGAAAATGAGTTTTCATTAACAGTGGCTATCTGACTTTCTCCTGCCACAATTTTACTGAGGGAAAAAGAATGGGCTAGATTGGAATTTCCTCAAAAAGAACAATATATGTCACCAAATTCATTATACAGTGTCCAATAAATTTCATAAAAGGTGTTGTTGTTTGAATATAGTAAAGCACATTAGGACTGTCTGTTCCAGAAGATAAATGCCTTTATAGACAACTTTATAAGAAAAACTGTCTCGTACTCGTGTTATACATAGAGAAAACCAATTATGCAGCAGCCCATTTGCTGGTGGTCAAGCCTGAGTCGAAGTCTCAGTGTTCAGTTGTCTTAACCACTTTGTCAGCAGTGCGGACTTATCAAAAAGGGAAACAAACAAAAATTTCAAATTCAGAATAATCTGACAAGTCTCTGAACTGAAAAAAAGAACACATGGATATTCGTGTGCCTAAATTTGTACTGTAATTCAGATGTACTTATACTGTTTGCAACATTATTTCAAAGATACTTTCTACTTGACCAGTAGAAATCGTTAGCAATAAAAATAAAGTGATTGTCAAGTTGCATGGCATGATGAATAATTGGGAGTTTATGGGATTCTGCTGTATGTATAGATGACTCAATTATGAAAATTTAAGAAAGATATAAAATTTGTTTTCTTGATACTAAGTTTGGCCAAAATATAACATTGGGATTAATTTCATGAGTCAATTATAGTGAAGGACATTCTTTTTATTTAAAAAAATCTTTTATTGGAAAGTGCTTGCTGTTTCGTATTATTTGTTGCCGAAGATATATCCCCTATCTGCTGCTTCAATATGCAGTTTTCATAATATGTAGTTTACAGCTTGTGGGAAGTCTTTTCAAATTTCAAAATGTGTGCCAAGTTACAAAAAGCTTATAGCCAAATGTGAAATAAATGCTGCCAAAAGAGGCAATGAGGGGGAAGGGGGTTTGTGGTGTATCTTCTGATTTACTTCAAAATGCATTAAAATATAGAGAGCAAGTCATTTATGCATTTGAACTGCAATTTCTTATGAGTGGAAATTTAATAAAATAGGGGGCTAACGACTTAAAAACGGTGCTTCAGTTTATTATTTGTTTTTAATTATTGTTTCTTTTTATTATTTTAAAAATTAATTAATGATGTGGGAACTCCTCACAAATCTAGCATGTATGACTTTATAAATCCATCTTTATCCATCATTTGATTCAAGAATAAGTAAAATATAAAAAAAACTTCATACTGTAAAATGTAGCAGATGTATAAAATATTTGTTAATGAAACAACAGTGATTTTTGCAAGATTTCTTCTTCCATGATTTAGAGCCATACTGTCCAGTTTCATAATCATCAAGAATTTTCTTAGTATTAGTAAGTATTATTACATATTCCATTTATATTATGTGTCTCTTTAGTAAACTCTGATTTATTTATTTTTAGATCTTGCAATCTCATGTGATTCCAGTTATTGCCCGCAAAGCGAAGATAATAAATAGTGATCTTCCTAAATTAGAATTTGACCTCTCTAAACTTTTGGCAGTTTCAATGAACAATGTAAGTTTGGTTATTTATACAATCTCTTTCCTTGAATGATACAATAATCTGATAATTGTTAGGAAGAAGCTATTTTATTGTGCTCATATTCAAAAATAAGAAATCAGTGTCCCTCACCTTTTAACAATCACAAATTTCATTTTCTGTCAACATTATTTAATTAAAGAGTCTAACTTTTGCTAATTAACTGAAGTGACAAGAGCCTTTAGAATGCTAAAACTTTAAATTAATTGAGTGTGAAAGAGAAACAAAACTACTAAGAAAAAGTTTTCTTTCATGAAACTTAAGTGGAGTGGATTTTAGAGTAATTGACATCACTTAAGCAAAGAACTTTGATCAATGAACTGTCATAAATAGTTAAAATTTCATTTCTAAGGTTATATTGTTCTATCTTATTGGCTGTATTTTACTTTAATTCAATGTTCTGGAACAAAACAAAATTTTACGTAAACTAGGGAAACCTAACCCATAGCTCATGAGCCACAGTGGCTTTTGCGACCTTTTGATTTGGTTGACATTGCCTGTCTGGTCTTGTGAAGTGCCAGAAGAAAAAGGAAATGTCGAATTCCAGTTACCACACATCCAAAGGCATGGAACTCAAAGGCAATGTTATCCTTATTTTACATTATGTAACAATGTTGCTCACAATATTCCTTGCATCATCATTGACGTTGAGGTAGGTCGCTTCAGATTGAACTGAATATTGCATTTTGATATAAAACAATTTTTGCTTCTTTCATGTATGTTAATCATCAATTTTTTAGATATTATTGATTTTATAATTACCCTAATCATGTGATGATTTGAGGCAGGAAAAAAATCCTATTTACAATTATGATTTTAACAATGAACAGGAAGAAAAGTATTTTTTCATTAATATTAAGAACAGATGTATTTGTTTGATTTGTGCTTCAACAATTTCTATTGGGGGGGAGAACCATAGAACATTTAACAACAGCTCATAAAAATTCTGACATTCAGTATTCTTCTAACAGCAGTCTAAGAGAATATAAAGTGAAAGAACTGAAAAGCCCATTCATTGCCAAACAATCAGTGTTTACCAAATCCACAATTAAAATGAAGGTTGGTGAGGTTGAAATTCACCAAAACCAAGATGATTTACAAAAGTGAGTTTTCTTAAGTTAAAAGTGCGGTGAATCAACAGATATCTGCAATGTTATTCAAATAAATATTTTTATAAAAATGGTGTTTAATAATTGCTCGGTGAAGAAAGATATAGTGCTACTCGCATATTGTCGCAACCACCTTTGTAGAAGTAACCAGATTTTCCCAAAATGTGTGGAACTCTGGGAACTATGCAAGTAAACATTCCTCAGGCAACCATGCTCATAACAATCATTCATCCAAGCAAGAGAAGAATTTTGTGAAAAATGTGTTTTATTTTTTTAATGTCTGATATAATATTCATTTAATAATTAAAATTTTTATTTTTAAAATTTTGTTCTTTTGACGTGTTGATAATCTTCTCCGATTTACGATTATAAATTTAAAAAAAAAAAAAAAAAAGTTACGAAAAGGGCCAATTTGCACCTGGGTAAGTAATCTTTCCCTTTTCATCTGTAAAAGACCACCAAAGTGCAGCACTCGCAGAGTAGACATATAATAAAATCGCATTAATCTTTATTTTCAAAAGCTCATGTCCATAGCAACAGTTCGTGTACCTGCTATGGTTGATTTCATCACATTATGTAAGAATGATACTAACTTTCAAAGCCTTTTGACTACCATTTCATCATACATCAGCTAGCATTATATACAGATATTTTGAGTTATGAAAATGGAAGGAAGAAATTGTATTCATGCCAGACCATATCAGAGTAGATTGTTCCTGCCTGATGAGCTTTATGATGAGTATGGAACTTTACATTTTAAAATTATGTTAGTAAAGGAAAATTCCTGCAATGATTTTCAGAGCTTCTTCTAGAGATAGAACATTGTTTAGAATCCAGAAATGAAATTTATGAAGAACTTAACGATCATAGCTGGTTTGTCTGATTTTGCCCATCTTACAGACATAACAACTGAAATGAATAAACTAAAACTTATGGTAAAGAAAATACTGTTATTGAGTTAACTGGAAGTATAAATGCATTTAAATCCAAATTAATTTGAATTTTTATATCTTAAAATAAAGGAATGTAACTTTCCACTTAACAAATTTAGAGGGAAAATTGAAACAATTAATATTTTGAAAATCTGATACAGCTTAAAAATAATTTCAAATTAGAATTTCTGATCTTTGTAAAATTCAGCGCATTGCTTCATTCATTTGAAATCCATTTGTTGATACTAGTATTTAAGAAATGTTGCAAAAGATTCCAAGTATGTTAAAAAAAATACTACTACTACTACTAAAAATTCTTCCTACTTACTGATCTAGAAAGGAAGAAACAATTGATTTTCACTCTGGTCTACAATTAAAAATAAGAATATCACAAACAGACTTTTTGGATACTCGTAGGTGAGAAAAATATCCACTTTGAAAAGAAACCTTTCAAAGATTAAACTTCTGCTTTGAATCAACATACCTCTGCAAAAGTGTTTTTTCAACAATGAGCTTGTTAAAATCAGATTCAAGATAATAAACTGAACATCTTAATGACTCTATTAATTAAGGCATGACATCCATCATAGGTAGCAGAGGTATAGTTAACTCTTAGAAGGCATATAATGTCAGGTTTAACACTAAAATATTCTTTTTCTGTACTTAATTTGCATCTTACTGAATGTTTAATAAATCGTTAATAAGAGTGCATAATTATTTTATTTAACATATAACCTGTGCATTATGTAATTGTGGCTCACCAAAATTTTTTTAATTCTGAATTTTCTCGTAAACTTAAGGGTGGGCACCACTGGCATAAACTATTTATTTGAAATAATTATGTAATCCATTTGTCTAGAAATAAGTATCCAATTTTCAGTTTTTATTTATCCATTATAAGCATCCATTTACTAAAGGAATAATTTGATTTACAAAATTATAAAATATGTTTATCTGTTTAATAATTATGTTCTAGGTACTTAAATATTATCCCATCAGCTGTGAAAGTTGGCTATCATCAAACCAAAAAAAACTGGCTATGATCCTGCCAAAGTTGCACCAACCGTTCCTGTGGAATTATAAAGGAACTGATCTTTCTTTATTTAATAATCAATATTCAACCTATTTCGTTGAAAGGCTTTTGTCAGTTTCTATTATAAAGTGCAATGAGTACAAACTTCTCACCAGTAATTGTTCCTGTCTGTTACTGTTTTGTAAGCCATATTCAGCTGGCCATAACATACATACCAGTAATACACATTTTTGATAGTATGATCCCATAACTGAAAATAATCAATAGCTTTCTACTGTGTAGATGGTAGATCCTTTCCCCTCCCAAAAAATGCAAGAAAAAATACAACTATGACAGTAATTTATATCCTTGTTTGTAAAAACAAGGATATAAATAAAGGTAGCTTATCGAGAATTTGTCAGGGTTATTTGAAACAAAAGCTTAAATGTTATGAGTATGTTGTTAAATCACACATATCTATTATTGGCATTAAATCATGTTGCTTGGCAACAGTTTCACAGTCAACTGGATAATATGTTAAGTGCCATACTGTATTTACTGTATCTTGTATCACTGGCTCAAGATCCATATCACTGCTAATAACCATGATTAAACTTTTCATTGTCGGTAAGCTGCGATTATAAAAAGTGCAGAGCTTGTCATTTGTTCGAGATAAATAACTTAGATTGAGATGGGGAAAAAAAAGTGTTTGAAGTTTTCTCAGTTTCCCCCCCCTCCAACTTTTTGCAAATAAAATATACATTTTACATTCTTTGTCGTTGAATGGCAAAACTTAATTTTCTTGGATTTTTTTTTTATTGCCAATCATATCCGAGTTTCTGGACAGGTAAAGTATTTATTATATAGTAATTTCTGATTAGCTGCACCCTTACCAATAAGTTGTACATTCATTGCTGACTTTGGGAAGGAAGCATTTAGAAACTCTTTTGGCAAATAATTTCTCACCAAAGATAAAAAAGCATTTTCAAAATGGCAGTGCGTTATGAATTCTATAAGAGAGCATTCATATAAAATTTAAAATGCAAGAACCATGAGTAATAAAACACTTACCTTTTTCAAGAAATCCTTATGTAATTTTTTGTGCTATTTTCTCTATATGTACACTGCGCAAAAAAAAAAAAAAAAAGGGAGGGACAGTTCGATATCTCCTGTTCTACTGGGCCTATTCGCGAAATTCAAATTGTGTTTTTCATGTCTCGAAAGTGCGACTTAGGATATATATTAGAGTTGTAGATAGCACTCTTCTAATATAGGTATTTTGACACAAAAATTTGCTTTTTTCTGAAATGGCATGCCAATTTTTTCCCATATTTCGATTCTATGATTTAAATTATGCCTAAATATTAAATTTTGTAAAATTTGGTGTGAAATTTATGGAGAAATTTAAAAATTTATCTTGGCAGAGGTTTTTCAGTTGGTGCCAGGAATAATTTTCTTGGTGAACTTCTTAATTTATTGCAATCTGTTTTCTATTGCTGTTTTTCATTGCAGACAAGCAGAAAAAATTCATCGTTCATACTTTCAGTTAATATTAACAAAGTGCAAAACCAAATTTGGCATTATTATCACTCAAAGAAAAGCTGTCAAATTTCAAAATGCTTCAATATTGTAAATTCATGCATATTGTAGAAAATTTCGAACAAGACTCTTAATTTTTTGCAGGTGTGCCTAGAAATGCATCTACTTTAAGATGATGTTAAAAAATTTATAGATTATAGTTTAATACCTATATAACAAGGTGTGGCTATTGATTTCCATGACTTCTCTAATAACACCAGAAGAGATGATGTGAAAAACGTAACCTTTTATGTTTCGAAGTAATCCCCATCTGTCGTAATACACTTCTGTGCTTGTCTGTATAAGTTGTGGAAACAACTTTTAAAGTCCTCTTTTGGAAGGCTG